ATGTATATTTATTATTTTTGTTAAAAACTAAGAACCAAAATGTATTTTTAAATCAATGTAATTATTTTTTTAAATTATTGGCAGGCCTAGATTCTATTCTAAATAGTAATATATCAAAATATTTAAACAGTTGAATCTTCTATTTTCATAATAGTCACAAAACAGTTATTATATTATGTATATGAGTTTTTTTTTATAATTGACATTAAAACATTATCGGGAAGCTATTAAAGTGCTAAACACTAGATATGACGACTTCAGTATTATTTTTACTTTATTGCATTTACCTAACAAATATTTCACTCTAAAACAGCGGTTCCCAAACTTTTTTCCGTAGTACTTTATTTTAGACCAAATATAGTCGCGGAGTCCTACTGTCAATACCATGAAAAACAGGACAAAAAAAATATTCATTAATAAAATTTTTTTGAAAGAGTTCTATATGTTTTAAATAACTCAATATGAGAGACCACTGTGCCCTTAGAAAGTGCTTGTGATGCCTTTTGTACACCGTTTGGGAATCGCTGCTCTAAATAAAAACCAACATGACATTGGAATTAAACTTAAAATGTTAAACCTTTTGATATTCTTGTACATACACTTGAGATGATATACTTTTAGAAATATAATATATATTAAGTGACTTACGGGCATTTTTAATTTTGCACTATTATATTTCAATTTATTGAGAAGTGTCGTCATGGGAATGATTATACAAAATTATTTTTATTTAAGATAAATTTATTGTAAGGTTAAAGCCCATTCCTTACACAATTCACACCTAGTTGCGCCAAAATACTTAGTACATACTTCAGACCTAGTATATAAGTAATATGTGATATATTTTGTCATTTGGAATAATACACATACCTAGACCTAGTGTGCCCTAATAAGAGTTTGTGTACATATATCATTCCTATGTTTAAATAATATAAATTTATAAGCCTAACCTATTAATTATAGAAGTAATAAATTGTGTTTTATGCATACTACACATTACATGAATAATATTTTTCCATTCTAGACGTGTAAAAATGTATGTGTAATATAGCTWATCAGAATACATAGGCATTTTAAAAACAATACATTTATATATTACTTCATATCAATTAATATAATTAATTAAATAAYGACTAGTAGATGATATTTGATAATTAATTTTGATGCAATACATTTCATTTATAACAAAAAATACTTATATTAATCTATTTGACAAAAGTTTTAGTTAAATAATTTTCACAGTCATCAAATAATTCTTGCATCTCAGGATACGCAGCCACTTTTTTAGCTTCCATAAGAGGCAACCATTTGTAATCTTGATGTTCATCAGACAACAATACTGGTGTGTCAGGATTGATTAAACGAGCTAACCAATAAGTGACTTGTTTGGAAAATGGTTTATCTTTTGGATCATACTGTGAAAAAAAAACTCATATTTATAGTATTCTTTAATCGAGTGCAGAAATAAGAATCAAAATATCAGGAAATAAATAAATATCAAATAGTGCAACAATTAAGACATGAGTTTGTGTCAGAGACCTACAAATYAAACTGATGTAAACATAGGTAGACARTCAAGGACTAGACAAAATAGACAAAAATTAAAAATGGTAGACTTGGGGAGCAAAATCAAATCTGATGGTGAAATAATTCATAAATAAAACAATGCATGGGATTAGAAAAAGCAGCTTTTTCCAAAAAAAAAAAAATATATAAATTTAGAGCTAAAAGAAGAGCCTTAAGAATTTAAGTTGTGTAATTTTATTAATTTTATTAACAAGATTAAAAATGTATAATTGAGACAAGTAGCAACTATAATTATTGACCAAAGAATACAGAAAAAAATGTTACAAGCCACAAATCAAGTAAATCAATACCTTTAACACTTTTTCAAAATTATGATCAATACTAAGATATTTCACTTTAATACCGGCTTCTTCTTCAGTTTCTCTAATAGCTGCATCCATATTGGATTCRTTTTCTTCTAAGTGWCCTAAAATTAAAATAAGTCAATATATTAAACAATTCAATGAATTATGTTTAGTTTCTGAACTTATACCTTTTGGGGGAGTCCAATGATGATTTGCATACGAAGCTTGCATAAGTAAGTACTCAATTATTTCATCACAGTTTTTTCTATAAACWACAAATCCAGCAGCTTTTCTTACAGTCTTAGACATTATTAACTTTTAAGTTTTATCAAATACTTAAATTCTTATAAAATAATTAAAAATATGWATTAGTGTAATGGATTGACACACTAAGGGCTAGTATTACAATCATGGGTTATCCTCCGATCAGTGTTTAACGGACTGTAAGATGAAATAACCAGTATTACAAACTCCGGTCAACTCTGTTATTGACCGTTAGCTTCCGGTTACGCTTACTAGCCGATATCGGCTGGTTAAAAAATGTG